GTCCACATCAGTGAGGACCTCACTTGGACACTTAACACCACACAGCTGGTCAAGAAGGTCCAATGGCGGCTGTACTTCCTGAGGAGGCTGAGGAGGTTTGGCATGTCACCTAGGATCCTCAGCAACTTCTACAGCTGCGTTGTCGAGAGCATCTTGACCAGCTGCATCACTGTCTGGTATGGCAACACCACTACTATGGACCGCAAACACCTGCAGAGATTGGTAAAGACTGCGGAGAAGATCACCAGGACTCCACTGCCCTCTCTGAAGAGCATTTACCACCGCAGGGTGCGTAGGAAAGCTGCCTCCATCCTAAAAGATCCCACCCACCCCCAGTACGGACTGTTCGCCTCCCTACCCTCTAGCCGGAGGCTCAGAAGTGTGAAATGCAGGACCTCCAGACTGAAAAGCTCTTTCTTTCCCTCTGCCATCAGACTCCTAAACAGCTGAGGAGTTTATTACCAGGAAATACATCATGTACTGTTTACATTCCCAGTTTGCATATGCATAATTGCATATTGACTGTTGACTGCTGCACATGCTGCTCCCATGCAGCATATTTTCTTATTATATTCTTATATATTTTCATTATACTGCTGCATTTGCTGATTAAAATGCCTTAGATTTAGTGTTACTTATTTATCTACTTTATATTTCATTTGTATTTTGTGGCATTCATGTGGACAGCAAAGTAAGAATTTCGTTGTACAGGGAAACACTTTTCCTAACTGTGCATATGACAAATAAACACTTTGACTTGACTTTACTGTAAGTTGATCTTGATGGATCTGTGGTTGTGCATCGCTATGGACATGATAGTGTTTCAGTAAGATGTGGTCAGATTTACAGCAGAGGTCACTTTCCATGTGTCTAACCAGGCCACCCTGTCTATCCTACTGGACCACCTCAGTCTGGTGGCGTCCTTAAGCTCATCCAACAGGATGACCCACCAGAATCTTGCTGTCTGCTTTGGCCCAGTGCTCCTCACCCCGACACAGGAGGCCTGGAGGGGAGGAGGAGTAGGGAGGGGAGGAAGAGGAGGAGGGAAATGCTCTGGTCACATTGAAGAGATCACAAGTGCAGTGGATTTCAAACGACACATCGAAGCATTGCACTACCTGCTGCAGCTGTGGCCAGGTGAGAAAAAAAGGGACTTGTTGCTTTAGAAGTGGAAGAAATTACCTCAATAACCTGAAGCTCCACTCGTGTTGGTACTTTATTATTGCCGAACAACCTTACCTTTACAGAGGTAACTTTTCCTGTTCTTCCTCAGTGCCAGCCCATCGAGACCCACTGGATGATCACATCGACATGTCCTCTCCTCCCTCCCTCTCCCTTGCATACAACCCTCTGGGCCTTCAGCAGCATTGGCATCCAGGGCTGCGATTGGCTCTGACCCCCAGCCCTGAGGAGGAGGAGGTGGTGGTGTCACGTCGGGGTCGAAGCAGTCTGACTCGGCTTGAAAGTCCGCCGCCAGTCAACCGGTACGCTGGAGACTGGAGCATCTGCGGACGAGACCTTTTGTCCAGACAGGAGGCAGACTATGATGAGGTGGCAGAAAGTGAGAGTGATGGAGGTAAACACACTATTCCTTTAACATGTGTTGATGTCGGCTGTTGTCCTGTCAGTCTTATTCCTCCTGTTGTTGTTTCAGGCAGTGGCAATGAAGAAGAGGAGGATAAGAAGAAGGTGTGGTCCTCAGGAGCAGGAGGAGGAGGTCTGTACATGGACGATTTCATTGATGTTGATGCTCCGTTTAACTGTCGGCTCAGCCTGAAGGACTTTGACACTCTTATCCATGACCTGGACCGGGAGCTTGCCAAACAGATCAACATCTGTCTGTAGAGGAGCAGGAACTGGTTTAATTAGTGCTTGTTTACTTCTGCCTGAAGTTTAGTCTGAGATAAAATTGTTTGCTCCACCACAGGCACAACTTGAACCTCATAAATCTTAAGTTTCAGAAAATTTGACTTCAATTAAGTTTCAAAATGTTACATGCAAGTTCAGAACAACTGAATTTTATCAAATTTATTTTTAAAATCTTGACATATGCTGGCATAGATGTCAGCCCTGATAGGTTTAATGCTGGAGCACTGTAGAAATGCTCTTACTTTGTCAATGTTTCCTCATAAGTTGAAATCTCATAAATTTGAGAATTGCAAGATGTCATATTACCTGGATTTCTGAGCCTGTTATCACGTGGCATATACAGTATGTGATCTCAGATTTAGAAGTCATAATAGCTTTTTTCCTTTGAATGTGTTGCACTTCCATCAGCATTTAGTTGTAAAACAGTGACTGTAACATCAGTGAATGGTATTAGAGAATTATTAAATTCTGTGGGCGGAAACAAGTTGAACTCAGAAAGTTGAAGGTAAACCTTGTCCTCATGCCGATGTTTGCTGACTTCTACAGGTCGTCATGAAGGAGGAGCCTTCTGCCTCAGTTTGTGCCAAAAAAAATCAGATGAGAGTGATTTATTTCTTTGGTCCAACATTAGATATAGCCTCAGGGTTCATACTAATATGAAGGAGGAGAGGCATTGCTATGGAGGAACTTCAGGAACAAAACTTTTGTACCACCACCTGCTGGTTCCTCCATAGCTACACATGTTCCGGTGATAACCAGTTTCCCACAGTTCTTTGTGTCTACATTCTGCGAGCTCACTGATGTGAACTATGTGCTTGTCTGCTGGGTATCACCATGTCATCGTTTGGATGACATCAGGGCTGTTTGCATTGTTGAAGCCATAATTTCACTTGTTGAAACTTCAACTAGAAGTAGTAAGATGTAGTAAGGTGATGTGATCAGTGATACCATCATATCATGTCTCAGATATCTAAACAACAGTAGCATGGCTACAGATATGGAGCCCTTGAAGGGTCTGAAAATATTCCTAAACTACCTTTTTGAATTTGCCCTGATCTGAGGAAGCTCAAGCTCTTGCCTGCCAGCACAGCTGTGGCAGAAACATGGATCAGAGGGAGCACCAGGAAACAGAATTCACTGGGAGGCAATGAAACAGTCGTTCAGAGATAGCTGCACAGGTTCTCAGAGGACCTCACATAGTTATAGACTGAAACACAAACACCAGCGGAATGTCAGCTGTTTTCCACATGCTGCACATAAAGAGAGGCCAAACCCATATTTTCTTAATAATTGAAAGACTTTAAAATGTACTGTGATTTCATAAAAACCTCTGTACTGTTTTCACCAGCATCACTGAGTAGTGTGTTAGACTCGAAACCATCAAAGAGAACCTGAAGGGAGACGAACACCTATGCTTTTGTCTGAATGCATGAAGAATAAATGTCTGTAGTGATGTTTCACCTTTCAGTTTTAATGCTTTTAAACTTCTACAACAAAAACTATAGAATTGTTCAAAATTAGCAAAAGCACCTAAAGAAGGTGTTTGGCTCATATTCTGTTAAAGCTATAATCCTCCAGAGGACGTGGACATGCGACCCTCCAATAGGATTACTGCAACGCATTTATCTATGCACCTGACCAGCACAGCATCCCCTGTAGGTTTCAGCTAGTCCCACAAGACTTTGTTGCTCCAGTAGGTCTTTGTTGCCCCTGCAGCTGTCTGTTGCTTTGGCAGGTTTTTGCTGGTCCTGCATTTAGAGCAGCAGAGTGATGTTGGCTGCAGCAGGTCAGTACATTTGCACGGTACAGAGTTTATAACTGTGATGAGTTAGTGAAAATGATGCTGTGCTCAGTATTACCAATGATTTGAATCTGTTCTCTTTGTTGTCGACAGTATTATGTTTTGCACAAATTGAATAAGCACTTGTGTTTTTGTTGTTGATGACAATGTTTCTATGCAGATGATGTAACCAAAGTGTTGAAGCACAGTTTCTGTTGGAACAGACCACAGCACCTGTTTGTAGATCTTAACATGAGCAACTATTAAACATATTATTATTTACTAAATGAGTGGGCTGCTGTTGTTAATTAATATATTGGGAACATTACAAAGGCTTCTGGAGGTCTGTGTTCTTAATTTAAAGTCATATCATTTACATTCACATAATAGTTATGAATGTAATTTGTCAAAGTAAAGGTAAGTCAAGATAGATGTAATGGCTGTAACAGCAGGACCACAGTGTCCCCAGAAACCAACAGGAGAAAATTAGATTATTCAGAATCAGAATCAGAATCAGCTTTATTGGTCAGGTGTGACGGACACACGAGGAATTTGACTCAGGTACATCGGCTCTCAATGTGCAAACAGTAAACCAGCATAAGGCTGTGTAATATAACAAAATAGCAGTATTAACATTAACAAACAGTGCAAACAATGCAGAAAAAGCAGTATAAACAGACAGTAAACAATGCAGACAACAAAGGAATGTTCATTGAAATGAGACCGGGGGAAGAAACTGTCCCTGTGCCTGGTTGTCTTGGTGCACAGTGACCTGTAACGCCGTCCAGAGGGGAGGAGTTCAAACAGATTGTGTACAGGGTGTGAGGGGTCAGCAGTGATCCTCTTCGCCCTCCTTTTGACCAGTGAGGTGTACAGGTCCTCCATGGAGGGCAGGCTCACACCAATGATCTTTTCTGCAGTCCTGACTGTCCACTGAAGTCTGTACTTGTCCTGTTTGGTTGCTGAGCCAAACCAGACAGTGATGGAGGTGCAGAGAACAGACTCGATGATTCCTCTGTAGAACTGTATCAGCAGCTCCTGGGGCAGGTCGAACTTCCTAAACTGGCGCAGGAAGTACAGCCTCTGCTGTGCCTTCTTGGTGATGGTCCTGATGTTGGATTTAAAGAAAATTTTAACTGACAATTGTAATAATTGTTTCAGTAAGAATCTCAAAAATCCACTGGCATCACCTTCTCAGATATAAATATTTAGTCATTTCTGTTTTCCCTGCAGTGTTTACTGTTGCTTAGGGAAAACATTTTAAAACTTTTTACCTCAGGGAATAATGAGCAGTTTTCAATACTTTTTTCACTGAAGAATCAATCGACTGTTAAAGAAAATAACTGTGAGATGTAGAATGTTTGTAATGACGGAAGTAGTCGGTTATTGATTTAATTCATCAAACAATCTCGCCTTTTAGCTAAAGTTGTACCTATCAGCCTATTCTCTGGGCTCAAAACTCTCTGTCCACCCGGCCACTACGTCACCGAAACGCCCCTGTCTTTTCTTTGGCTTCTCTGTGATTGGTTTAGACAGTGAGCAGCTGATGGCTCCTCTGTGATTGGTTTAGACAGTGAGCAGCTGATGGCTCAGAGCGTTGATTGGCTTGGTTCGGTTCTCATTCTGTCTTCTGGGGGGTGTGTTAGAGCGCGATGCACAGCAGTTTTTTTCGTTAAAATGGCTGAAATATAAAACAGAGAAGAAAGTTACAAACAAAAACAGAAGGAGAGGCAGAAATAGAAACATCTTCTGCTTGTCGTTGTGGTTTGGGATAGACTGGGGTGGACTCTACTGGGATAGAAACTTTTCAATGAACTGTACCAGGTAAGAAGTGGACGGATTTGAATCTGCGCCACAGCATTTTAATGCGTCGGGTGTTTCGACCGAGTTCTACTCAGAACTGGTCTTTAATGTAATCTGACGAAGTTAGCAGAGCACCGAACGGATTGAATTAACCTCTTCATTGTGAAGAATTTATGTATGTAAAAGTGCAAAGGAATAATCAGAAAAAAAACTATATTAAAGAAGTGTACGTTTAGCCTCCACAAGTCCTGTTGTTGTTTGTAGGTACACGTACTTCACTTTATAACCAACTAAATACTTTGTAGGGCTACTTGTACCTTTGACTGCATTATCCTGGCGGCTGTGGTTTCTGTGCTCTACCGGTTGTTTCTCATATCAAACATTTGTAGTGAAAGATGCGTTGCTCAGTGAAGAAGCATTTAAAGTCTGAAATACAGCTTTCATTTCATTTCAAATTTCTCCTACGTCGGCGTCCCCCCCAACATTTAGAGCTGCAGCTGTACTGAAAAATGTCCAACGTCAGACCTGATATCGTTATCTTCGTAGGAACTTAGTAAGTGGGTTTTACGAGCAAATTTGTTCTTAAGAACGATTGGTGAGTGAGACCCAATGTCAGCACATTACCCCCGTCTTAAATATGCTAAAACCAGGAAATTGCAAACTGTGTGCCATTACTTTTTCTTGCAGCAGTATGTTAATAAAAAAAAAATACTGTCCTTTACAGCTACATCCAAACCTCCATTTTAGTGTTCAGTTTGAGCGCAGACTGAACAGAAATGGATTTATCTGCTAGCCGCTAGCTAGCGTTAGCTTCCGAACCGACAGCTGATCAGGGGGCAGAGCCATGTTGCAGTCTGTTGCTCTCATCGACAGGATCTCTAGGTCAGCTAAGCTTATCCATTCTGAATTATCACAGTCCGTAAAGTGAGGTCTAAACGATTTAAGCAGCCTTTAACCAAACAAAATGAGAATATATGCAGGTAAATACCGTGCGAATATTTCCCAAAATGGTGTCCCATTCCAACATTCAGCATGACTTTCTTTTGCATTCTCTTTCAGAATTCCGTGGGAAACACTGCAGCTTCAGTTAGAAGCTCATGCAAAGTTCTGAGGTCTGAAGAGACTCACGTGAAATCATAGAGGAGATAAGTCGGTCAGCTTTGACAGTGCTTGCATATAGTTGTCCGTGTGGTTCCTGCTTTCCTTACTTTACTAAAATAGAAGTAGCCAGCCATGACCTAAGCATGTGCAAAAACCTGGCATGAATTGTCACTGGCACTGCATGAACTCCTAATAATGCAGCAGTCAGTAGTAGTCCTCTTATAAAATTAAATAATATATTACTACAGCAGCTGGATCTTGTAAACAAAATTAAGGCAGCAACTAATAGTTTTAATAATTGATTAATCTGTCGATTATTTCTACAATTAATTGGCTGTTAAAAAACATGCAGATATCTATTTTCCACCATAGAGTATTTATAAATTGCACAACAGGTCCAATAGGTATTATATTTTATTTCGATATGCGGCACATATCACAATAAAAGAGGGCCCGGTGCAGATCCCTGTGGAGCACCACGTCTTAAATTGCATCAGCGCTTCTTCAGGTCTGTAGAAACCATTCTAATAAATAAAGACCTGTTGGCTCCCTCCTCAGGGTCCTACACATCCTGAACTCTCGCCCTGAGGGTCCATCTCCCATCATACCTGTGGACATGGCCATGAGGATCTGTCTGGCCAGCTCCCCTCCTCTGCACTCCTTGCTCAGTAATTGTGACAACAGCTGTTCTTCTTCATCATCATCCTCCTCTTTGCTGCCACTCTGTGAACCGCTGCGACCCTGTCTGTCCTCTGCATGCTGCAGTGATGCCTTCAATAGCAACTACATTGCCACAGCAACCACGACATCAACGACTGCAACTGCAGAGATTAGCAGCCCGGCGTGGCTGAGGAGGAGGAGGAAGAAGAAGAAGAAGAACGTGGTGTTTGCTGACTCTCAGGGTTTGGCGCTCACTGCTGTCCACATCTTCAATGAGGCTGAGGACAACCTGATGACAGAGCTGCAGTTCCACTTGACTGAGATAGAGGGTGCCACAGCAGGACTACACCTGGGACACAACAAAGGTGACGGAACTGAAAAACACTGATCATTGTAACATTTATAAACCACGAAAAGCTTTATTATAGCTAGGGTTGTGGGGGGCTGGAGCCAATCCCAGCTGACACTGGATGAGAGGCGTGGTCCACCCTGGACAGGTTACCAGTCTATCACAGTGCTGATTTGAAGCAGACTACTCCTCCTGGTTGACACTGTCCAAATTTTCCCTTGAAGTCTTGTCTGTTACATCTTTCACATGATGCACATAAAAAAACACTTACTTTTTAGCAAAGAGTCCCCTGTTCTGACAGGTTGCTGCCTGTCACTCCTGATGCTGATCACAATATCTGATTGCTTGGTTATGCTCCTAATAATCCTTGCCTGGAATCTTTAGTGTGGACCAAAAAATAGAATCTGTAAGCTCTCTTTTGGGCCAACTTAGGATGTGGACACCTTTAATCGGTTTTAACAATGGAATTAATTGATGATCGTAGTTTTATGTACTCCTTTTAATCCATGGTCCATCACATTCTTTATGCTCCTCCTACAGACCCTGCTGATTGTGGTTCAGGCCTGGTTCTGGACTTCACTCAGCCAGCTGCAGACTATCTGGACCTGAGGAACCGACTCAAAGTCCAGCAGGTTTGTCTAGAGACCTGTTCGGTCCAGGAACGCTTGCTCTCAGGCACTGTTCAGGTCCGAAACGTCTGCTTTGAGAAGTCCGTCTCAGTCCGTATTACCTTTAACTCATGGCACTCCTTCCAAGACATTCAGTGTCAATACCTCAACAACGTCTACGGCTGCCTTGACACCGACACCTTCTCCTTTTCCATTTTGGTGCCAGACCTCCATGAGCCCATGGACAGAGTAGAGTTCTGCATTCAGTATCAAACTCGGGACCAGACGTTCTGGGATAACAACCAGGGGAACAACTACCGGCTGGTGTTGGCAGACCAAAATGGCAGTCTGACCCAGAGTGCTGAGCATTGCGCAGAGCTGGAGATCCAGAGACAACATGGTGGAGATAAAAGACAGGAGATGGAGTTTGACCCTTTTGGAAGTCCCAGAACATCATCAGGGATCTTCCCTGAGTGGCAGAGCTGGGGTCACGTAGAGACTGGCGCTCCCTATTGGTGAGACTGTCATAGCACGTGCATTAGAAACTCACTCTGATTCTGTTCTCAAAAGGTAAGACATTCACAGGACCTTGACTTGAGTACTGAAAGCCTTTTGGAGGTCATCCAAATGTGGCGGCTGGACATAGACTACTTTAACTTGAGTCACTTTAGCTCCCTAAAATTAAATGAGTCTTTGACAGGCATGTAATAACTACTGAATGAAGAATGGAAGGACACAATAGTTGCTAGTTCAAAATGACAGTCTGGCAAACCTGCATTTCATACTTGCTCCAGATGCAGGTTAAATGAAGCACCAGAATTAGCCTTGTAGGTCTAAATGCCAGAATTGGCCCAGGTGCTGTAAAATGGCAATGATTCTTACCCCAGTTATTTTAAAATGTGCACCTTTAAAGCCTGAATCCATATATATATATATACTTCCGTAAAAGCACTGACCTCTCCTTTGTCATCAGACTGGGCTCACATCAGGTCTTCTGTTTCCAGAACACAGCCAAGTGTGCTGACATTCAGCCACAGGAGGTCTGACTTAGTGGGATACCTGGGATGGTCTCATTGGAAAAGATGCACTGAGATTCCTTGGTGCTTTGTAAAAACGTTCCAAGGATTCAAGGCTTTTTGAGCATCAAAGAGTGCTGGCTTCTGAAATATGCAAATACGACAGAAAAACTGTAGCATCAATCTATTCACAAAAAACTCAGGAGTCACAGGGGCTTAGTAAAAGCATCTAAAAGATTTGGTAGATTTCAAAGGCTTCAGAAGTCTCACACAGATTTCTAAAGTTACAAAGCCCCACAAGGCTTCATTTTAAGTTGTAAAATTGTCCAGCATAAGGATCCACAAGGCTTCATTTCACAAGCTTTTCATGTTTTGTTGAAGTGCCTTGTAACAAGGATCCACAGGTTCCATGAAGCATAGCAAGTCTTCACATTCTATATCACAGTTTGACGGCTGAGGGACCAAGTGGACCAAGTCCCGTTTTTGAGAACTCGGCAGTGAGGAATAAGAATTGCTGGCACAACTTCATTTACTGTGAAGGTGCATGGAGAAGAGAGAACAATCTGAAGATGCATACACACGATCTTCATTGCTGCCCCAATGGCTTTCAGAATATGGCTTTTGTCAGGGTCAGACGGTGCTTAACATTATTGACTGATCAAAGGAGGATGCATCTGTTCATGTCCAAGGATGTGACAAGTTCTTTGGCTCTTTGGGCATATATTTCCTACAGGTTCCTCTTTCTTTTCCAGTTACATACCCCCATCCTCTCTTTTTGCACCGTGACAGCTGATTAATTTTTCCCAACATAAAACCCCTGAGAGTGTCCAGGTCCCAAAACAGCTGCGACATGGCATCAAGTCCTGAAGGACCAGCCTAAAACACTGTTGGGTATTTACATTTAAAGAGACTAAGTGAAAAGGAAAATATTCAAATTTTATGAATTATTGTTGTGGACTAAATCAAGAAAGCCTTTTTGCGGGCTTAAGGTTTTCTGCAGTGTTGAATCCTGTTTTTGTTTTTTTGCCATCGGGCTCCATTCACCTTTGATTCAGTCCAAGGACAATTAACATCCAGATCCTAACCTAAAAACCCCAGCTGAATCCAAATGTCTGGACTTCCACATCCAAAACTCATCAAGCTTGCAAGAGTCCTCAAGTGGATTGGGCCTCATGGACATTTCATTTGGGCTGGTCTCAGTTTTGTGGATGTTTTGCCTCTGACTTGTGGATATTTGGTCTCAGACTCACCTCCTGTCTCTTAGAGGATTCTAATTCTGACTTCTCTGGGTCTTATGGGAGTTTTGACTCTGACTGGAACTCCCTGAAGTGTGAACTAGGAGCTTTGTATTGAGAAAGGCCTATGGACAGATTTCAGTTGGATTTTTCCTGTTAGCTGAAAACACTCAAGAGTTGGCATTTAGCTAATAATGTCCTTAGAGTTGTCTGAACGATGCTAACAATGCTTGAAGAGGTGGTAAAAGGTACCTCAGTGTTGATGTTCACTTAGGTCATGGACTGTAGTCTTACTGTAACTGCTGTAGGTGTAGAGGTACAGGTAATCCTGCATGTCTTGTTCACTCATATAGCCATACAAATCTTAGAGCTTTCACTAAGCTAAAACATGTGCAGTGGTCTTTTTATTTTTATTTTTTTTCTCTTCTCTCAATTGTAGCTGCTGCTGACTGAATGTGTCTGTTGGTGTGTAAAGCATGTAAATGAAGGGGATACGTAAAGTGGTTAATGTGAACCTGGGACCTGTGTTGTTGACATACAGCTCTGGCACTAAATCAAACATTTTGTGTTTGTGGGTCCAACTGGAGGTGAGCTGTCTGCTTAAGTCCTCGTGCTGCATTCATGTCATGTTGTGTGGTTCTGTCTCATAATTCATGTGGAGAGTCCTGGAAGATTCTTGTAAAGAGCTTTAGTGAAGAGGCCCTGTGAAGTTCACCATACACCCAGTTATTCACATTACAGCAGTAAAACTAAGCTCTTTTATGGAATGTTCCTAGGTGACTGGAGCCGTATTTACCAATCCAGACTTCTTGGTGCTACTGCACTTAACTTTTACGCACACTTTGAGTGTGTACTTAGACAAACGCAAAGAGAACAATGACTATGTGAACTGTTATTTGTTTAAAAAAAAAAACAACTTGGTTACCTTATCAAACTTGGCATCTGTAGCTTATATTTCTCCAAAAGAGTGTGATCTAAGGTCAGTATGATATTGTACACTTAAAGCTTACACATATTACAACATACTGCAGCCTCACTACCAAGTGTCAGCAGGTATTTGCTGCTGTCCAACCACAGGGGGCAATGATGAGTCCATCAAAACTTGTTGTACCAGGAGGAGGTTAAGATGTTGCTGCACTGTAAAGTACAAAGAAAAGATCAGCTGATCAGGAACTTTATTATCTCTCATGTCTGAAGATTTATTCATTTTAACCCTGTGGCCCTGAAATGGTTAACCATCCTTGCTTCCTGTGGGCAAAGTTGATCAGCAGCGGTTTCAGGATGATTTTAATTTAATAGAAACATTTTCAGTGTTATTCTGAGTTGAATACGTGACCTGAATGCAACACGTTAGCCAGACTTAGCTTATGCTAATTTAACACATATGGTTCATGGGATTTAACCTGACTAGCTAGCAAGCTAGTCATTAGCGACTGTACTGTAGCAAGGTTGTAATGTAAAGTGCAATGTAATGATGATGTCATGATGCACTGCTAAAGCAGAAGGTGATATAAGCAGAGAGTGACTGACAACCTTTTTACAGGATAAGGCTGGCCATTTTCTATATTTAACAGTATGTTCAAAAGTCCCCATACAGACTAAAGCCAACAGTGATGTACCTCTACTCACTGGTAATGTCTGTCAGAACTGCATTAGCCTATTCGTCTGTGGCGCAGACTTTCATTGTTGTTCAAAAACAATTAAAAACACATCAGGGAAACGCACTGCTGCACTGGGTGACTTGTTTCCTTATTATGAAACACCAGACCCTGATAGTTGTTAAAAATATGAGTGAGTTGTGGCAAATCCTTGTTGGTTTTGGCCTCCATATGGGGAGTTTTGAAATATGGAAAATGACCAGCCTTATCCTTTAAGTGGGTCGTTTTAGTTTAAAGATCTAATGTTTAGTGTTTAAAGCTCACACACGCTCTTCTCTTTGTCTCTTCAGGTTGACATCACTTTGAAAATGCAATAAGTGACAAAAGATGGAATAATATTTTAATGATTAATAAATGAATTTGTTTCATATCACTAGTTGTTTGACTTGCATTTTATTTGTTTTTAGTCAGATAAACTGAAAAATCTAAGTACTAACCTTAATAGTAGAGGAACAAATTATCAAGTTTAGAGCTCATGTTGATGCACAAATCCCTCAATCATGATGTGGTTTAACTTGGATGACCCAGCAGACAGGTATGCTTAACATTCTCAGAGCGCTGTGTAGCTCACTGAACCGGTATGGGCCACGTGAGACCAGCAGGTTTTACAGAGCCTAAAGTCACCACAAAGACAAATATAAAACTGACCTACATGCACAAATGAAGATCATGTTTAACAGCTGTTTGTCTTAGGAAGATTAGTAGCACATCTGCCCTGTGGTTACTATGATGTTACAGCAAATGTTTCAGGAAAATGCAGAACAAACAGTTACAGGACACGATACCACCAGTAGTCTGATGTGATGAGGTGGGTTTCCGCCCTGTCAAATTACATGTTTGATTGTAATGTAAAGTAACTCCTCCTGGGTTTCTGTATGAGGGTGTTTCCACTTGCAGATTATGTCTTATATAACAGGAGAGACGCCCTGTGTCATGCCCTCTGCCGGGTTAAAGCAGAGCTTGGCAGGCTTAAATCTGCTGTTGATCCACAAGCACTGGCGTCATCACGTGTCCTGTTCACTCTGCCATCTGAGAAAAACATCTAGTTTGAGTCAACAAGAACAAAAACATTTTAGTTTGTTAGTGTAGAGACAAAATAAAGAATGAACAACTTCCTACAGGTCCACAGTCGACGTAGAGATGTGATTCTTATAACAGGACCAAATAACCTCTTGTGCTTCACCTTCTCATCAGCCAGTGAACAGAACAGAAGTGAGAGCAGGACTGATGGACAGAGTAATAGTGTTATGTAAAGCTGGGAGACACAACTGTTGCATAATTCGGAAAGCTCTTCTCTGGAAACAAACCAACACACTTACTACACTACACACTGGATGCATCTCAGCTCCCTTTGCTGCATTCACATTTCCTTCGTTCATGTTTCAGTCTGTTCCACGTGCAGAGAGGCGCTTTGTAAGAAAGCTTTGTGGATAAAATAAAATGGCTAAGACCAGATCCCTAGTTGGCCCGTCTGCTCCGGATCGCTCTGATATTTTTGTGTGCACAGTTGCCTTTACCCAGTTTGAGCCTGTTTTATTAAGTTTGCTTTCAGAGGTTGTCCATCATCTGAAACCAACATATTGCTTTAAAAACGTTTTTAACACCTTTGGACCTATTATCCTCTTTCTTATTAATGGTTCCTTGACTTCTGGATATTTCCCATAAGATTTTAAATGTGCAGTGGTTCAAGCTATTCTTAAAAACCTCATCTGGACACTTCAGTTATCTAATTTTCAAAGTCGGACTGTTTCTTGTCATATGCACACTAAGAAACAATGAAAAGTTGAAAAGTAAACAATGTATACAAAGAGAACCAGTGCAATGCGCAGTTATCAGTTCCAGCGATAAGTATGTACCATGTACAGTAATACACAATAGACAGCACACCAAGCAATAAAAACGGTAAATGCTCCAAAGCCTTTTGATTCCTAATAAGGCACAATCTCTGATTGCCTTTTTTGTAAGTGCTGTCAGCATTATCTATAAAATTCAGTTTATCGATATATATATTCCCAAATACATAAAAATACCAGCTATTTCCACAGCGTGATTTGACAAAATTTGTGTTGTAGGGTCTGTATAGTTTAAAATAAGCTCCTTTGTTTTATCCACATTGGTCAACAAAGAGCAGGTATTACACCATTCCTCCACTTTGTGTGGGCAACAGGACAAAAGTCACTGAGCCCATTAGTCACAGGCCTGTTAAGGTGAATCTGTACAGTGTCTGCTCGGCTTTAGGCAGTGGCGTAGTAGTTGTACTTTCAGTGTATGGGAATAGTACATGTATTTAATAGAAATACCGTCATACCACTTCATTAATGCATATTAAAAC